ACCAGGCCAGGACCCAGGGCCCCCAGACCCAGGGCCCCCAGAACCCCATGGCACCCCAGACCCAGGCCCCCAACCCAGGCCCCAGGACCCAGAGCCCCAACCCAGGCCCAGACCCAGGGCCCCAGACCCAGGCCCCCAAGACAACAGGCCCCCCCAGACACAGCCCCAGACACAGCCCCCAGACCACAGGCCCCAGACACGCCCCCAGACCCAGGCCCCCAGACCCAGCCTCCAGACCCAGGCCCAAGCCCCAGGCCCCCAGACCAGGCCCCAGACCCAGCCCCAGACCCAGGCCCCCAGACCCAGCCCATACCAGGCCCCAGACTCAGGCCCCCGCCCCCAGACCCAGGCCCCCAGACCCAGGCCCCCAGACCCAGGATCCCGGCCCCCTGCTAAAGACCCGCGGCCCCTGCCCACGGCCACCGAACCCTAGTCCCCGGCCCAGGCGTAAAAGCAAGAACATCCGTTGACTGACTAGCGTTTCAGGGCGCGTCAACTAATAAGGTCATTACCCCCGTAAGTGCAGTGCTAGTTTTATCGCGTGAGGTGGCGATGACCTTCCCCCACTTAAGCGTGAGGTCCGGCGCCGTCTTACACGTCAGCTTGTGGGGGTTTCCTCAACCAGGTATCTCCCACCAGCATGTCACCGCCCCAGCTCTTAAGCTCCCAGCAGGTCTCCCGACATGTGTGGCGGTAGCATCGCGCGCGGTCGGTGGCCCGTTTGTTACTGTACTGCTCCGGCATTCGCCTGGTGTTGATTGGAGAAACCACGGAAAACTACCGATCTGAGCAGCCGTCTGCTAGAATTCTCCTCTAAACAGCGCCTGAATTCGACCTTGCTGGTGTCGAAAATCTTGCCATCATTGGATATCGAACCAACTATGACTTCTGATTAGTCACTGCAATGACATCAATTGATTGATTGCCCTGAGCCACCTAAGCCCATCCAAAGCAAGAAGTGGAGAAGAACGAGGAAGAGGAGAATGAGAATGGAAAAAGAAGAGGAAGAATGCCAGGATGAGAAGATGAAAAAGCAGGAAAAAGAAGACAAGGAGTAAGAACAAGCGGAACAAGACGTAGGAGAGGAGAAAAAAGAACGGGAAAAAAATAATGTCAAAGAGAATGAAGGAGGAGATGAAACGGAAAAGAAGGGATAAACAAGAAAGGATAAAAGGAGACAGAAGTAGGTATGAAAAGGAGAAGGGATGAAAATGAGAAATAAAGAGGAAGAGAGTGAAAAGGAAAACGAAGAAAGGAAGGAGGAAATAAAGACAAAAAGAAACAAAATGAAAATATGAAGAGGAGGAAGATTGAAGGGAAGGGTGAAAGTACGAAAAAAAGAAGATAAAAAGCGAGGAGCTGGAAAACAATGTTAAGAAAATGGTGAGGTTGCGAGCATAGTTTCCTCTCAGAATGTTTGAAATGCATTTGTCTTAATTTCGTGTCCCCGTATTGTGCATGTATCTCCTAGATGACTTTCACTGCCTGATTTGTTTGAGATTTGCACTTTTAAGAGCTCTCTGCTTTTCACGTGCACATTAACTACAAGAGTCTGCCTCGAGAACTAGCGGGGACATATCTACCTATTTCTAGGGTTGTTACCCGTGCAATGATGAAATCTCATTACACGAGAAATTGTACAATTTAATTATAACGCTAAAGTACAAATGTTTTCTCCTTTGACTGTTTAACCAGTCTTGTGAATCATAATTGCAAAATGTATCCATCGCTTTTTAATCCATCCTGAGATTTTCGAAGACATACGCCTGCGCATTGCAGGGAAAAACCGTGGCGTAACTCCTGCCGACCCGGCAGATGCAATTACCTAGGGCCCCCGGACACTAAAGGGCCCTCAAAACCAATTTTATTTCTTTTTGTCTAACTGAAAACACTTTAAATGCCCAATATGATCGCGATTTGTTTATTACAATAAATCAACTAGTGGAAAGTTGAATTACGTATTTTATGATGAGGACGCGAAAATTTTTTCCAAATTTGTAATTTGACATCCCAGATACCTAACTATTTATTGCTTCACTTAAAGTTTTTTTAGGACCTATTCTGGGTTTCATTATACGTGATTTGAATGGACGAAAACCATAACGATGTGACATTTTATAAATTCAGGGAAATCTGTTTAACTCAATATTACGGCGTGGTGCTGTGTTTCATCATTAAAAGCACCGCATTTCAATTGTTCATTAAAACCACGAAAATACATTGCCATTGAAATACAGCCTAAAATAAAAACGTTTTTTTCTCGTAATTTATGAAATTTCACTTAAACTGTTCTGGTTTTCAACAATTTCTTTGAAACGTTTCATTAGAACACAAAGGAATGCTGAAATCAAAGGATTCCAATGTCGTATAAGGTGATTCCTCCCGGGCTCCGCTCTAAAAAGATTACAAATAAAACCTTGGAATGTTGTCTACGGACAGCAAAGTGAAAAATTTGTTGAAAGCGAGCCTGTGCGATGCTATGGATCAACTCATCAAAGGGAAAGTTCTAGGGACTCAATTCTGAATTTAGTGATTGATTGTGAGTAATAACTTTTCTTTATATTAGTTTCAATTCTTTTTTTGTTCTTTGGACAAAATTTTGGGAAGGGTATCCCCCCATTTTGTTTTTGATCTGGGGCCCCGGAAGTGCTAGATATGCCACTGGTGAAAAGGCATAATAACTATGTTCAATTACCTTAATCAATCCAACAGGAAGATCTGCGAAACATTATAGATCTGTGATTTATTACAAATAAATTAAGAACTACAAAAACTCATTAGCAAGACACAGCAAATCTTGCTTATGATTTCTTGTCGTCCTATGTCCACTTGTTCTCGTATCCTTAACTTGGAATAAAGCTTGACGTTCGATCACATTTTTCTAAATATTATGGACACCATGAACTTTACACTTCAATGTGCAGTTAAACTTTACCTCTTCTGCTGGATATATCGCTAAATCACCATTGCCTCGTAAATAGTTAATCATTTGCTTTAATGGTGGCACTTACTATCCTGTGTACGTATTACAATAATTATATTTCACAACTATTGAAATTGAGCCAGGAGGTTGATGCACTTGAAGAAACGTGTCCTCAAAACGCAACACTAAAGTATAATGAACCATAAAACACTTATCATACTTTGACGTACCTGAATATTTTTGTTGTTCACTTTGTCCTGATATAGAATATCGCTCAAATGAGCGATATATCTTAGGCGATACGTCCTCCTTAAATCAACATTATGGCAGAAATAGGCCATCTAGCCAAAGGTAGATGTTTTATCAAACTATAAGGGATTTGAGAACAGAGCAGTAACAGGTGACCTGTTGGATATGGAATTGATACTTGAAAACTAATCATGTGGCTGTTGCTGGTATGAGATGTTGCCACGATATTAGCTATGAAAACTTGCGAATGCAGTAATGACGGAGACAGGTAGACTTATAAATGAAGAAATATTTTACTATATAGTACATATATAGGGAGCAATGCCCCCTATACTTCGTGTTTATAACGTTTCCGTAGAGACATAAGGAATATGTGATGAAAGATACCTGCAAATAAATTAAATTAATTGTAAAATATTGATATTTTCATTCAAACCTTGCGTCCAGTTTGATTTTTTATGTAATTTTTAATTTTCTATATTCTGTCAATCATCTAGAATATTTAGTTAGGTTATATCATCTGAATAACAAACATCTTTGAGAATCTTTATGATGAAAAGTACGGCATAAGCATTAAGTAATTACTTCTGACAGTAGAAAGCTTCCAAATTGTAAACGAAATTAATAACACGCGAACTCAGGAATTGACCATGCATCTTTTTTCTTCTTTATGGTACAGTAAATGCAGTACTACTACTTCGATTATCTTACAATACTACATTACCGAAAAAATCTTAAATTATTAAAAATTTCATACATTTAAATTGATTTTAATGAAACCCAAGCGTGTTAATTTTCAATTCTCGAATCAACTTTTTGTTTCGTGTAAAGAATTGATAAATGTGTTTTTTGACATATGAAAATTGGAACGGCATTCTGTGCAGGCAAAGACTGAAAGTTAGGTACCGTATCCATTCGATATATTTGTGTGGGACAGGTTCTAAATTAAAAATACGGGTTTATATTATCTATAACGAGAATTGTTCCAACTTCTTGTCGTAAATGTTTTAATTTCACGAATTCTAATAATACACATGATATGTTTTTTTTATAAAATCAATTTCTTTGTAGACACTTGCTTATGCCTTAGCGTTTCTTTGAATGCCTTACAAGCCGGTTTCATCCAGAAAGAAAGTAAGGAAAAATGTGCAAATAAGTCCAGTCGATAAAATACTAGTTACCTCATTAGTAAAACATTACAAAAAGACAATTGTTAATATTGTTAATAAAATTTTGCAAATTTTGCTAGAAAAATCGAGTAGGATGTGTCGTAGTGACATCCGCAGAAGAGTATGGAAAAAACGTCTTCTGAATGCTAAACTGGAAGGAACATAGAAACAATACATTTTACATTTATTCACGTACTACAAACTTTATATGCTGAACTTATGTTGCAGCAATTGGGAGTATTACGCTGATGAAAATGCCACACAGTGGCGGCTCTTGAAATGTTCAGGATAGGAAAAATAGATTGCAGAATCATGGCGGATCCTAGAGGGCACGAGAGTCATATATGGTTCCAATATTTTTTGTAATTTCACTCATCGTATTCAAAACAATTGTCACACAGTGGCATCACATTCCAAAGGCGTAAACCACTAAAATCCCTGTGGACATCATTTAAAGAAGAAATTTACATTAATTACGTGTTCATAATTTTAAGAAGTATAATTTTACTTAAAGAAATATATGGGGTCAGAAATGCAATTGGTCCCCTCTTGAAATACTTTCTGTAGAATGTACTCGTACACCCTGTAACAGAATGGTACATTTTCTCGCCAGCACGATGTACAACTGTATTCAATGTAGGAATGAGTTGACAATTGTCCAAAATTTGTCCATCTACATTTTTTACGTCGCGGTGTACGTGGTAGTTCACTCACTTTCTCGGTCATAATATTATCGGATTTAAATATGAAATCAATCTAATAACAACGGAGTACTTAGGCGGTGCTCCCCCTGCTGGGGGAGAAAGATTGAGGGGGAGACTCGCAAGCCAGCGCGCGTGTTGTATGGTGGAAAAAAGATGGGTGAGCTATTGCTCATCATATCCGACTTCAGCCATTTAGCTTCAGGCAGCAGTTTGCATCGCAATATTAGTGGCAATTTTAAATGCAACCAGACACCAAAATGATCACA